TTATAACACTGCAAAAAAGCTCATTAGTTTTAGTTTTTCACTAAATATAGAAAAATGTTTGGTATTTTACCTTGGCAGATTTTTTGTTTTGACTACACAGATACGGCTAATTAAATTATGTATTAAACTCAATTTTAATAAAATTCGCCCAAATAGGTACGATTGCATTTGAATCGCAATATTTCGGGTTTACGGGCTCTTGCACTCTTACTTCGTATTAAATATTTTTATGAAAATAATTAGGTAGCTCTAATCTACAAAACTTCAATATCTAAAGCTTTACCGTTGTGGTATCTCTAAGAGTTTTTTTTTATTTCATAACTTAATTTTGAAAATAAATACAGCTTTAAAATACTGATCGCACGCACCCGTGTGCGTTCCCCTTTGCTGCAATTTCACAATCGCACTGACAGCTTAATTGGCTTGTAACAGTGATTTTGTGAAAACCATGTTTTGCGTATTGACAGCCGAAATATTGGCGTTTTGGATAAACTGTCGGTGAGAGTTATTCTCTACATTGTAGGAGTTGATTATTTTTCGAAGCTTTCAACTTTTTTTAATACATATTTGCAGAAGGAAATACTTTTAAGTGGACTAAGTAGATTCTACGATACTTAGGCTGAGTTGCGCCACCTAACTTTAACGGTAACTATGACGATAGATAACCGGTGCGTTTTGTATGGAGTTTGACAGATTTTTTGTCAAAGTTAAAGTAACATGGTGCAAGTGCAACTCAGCCTTAGTTATCAATTTCGATATACCATATAATTTACGGTTTTTTTCCTAAGGGGGAAATAAACCAAAGTGGTTAACAATACAAGTTTAGTGGTCAAAAAATACAATCTAAAACTCGCCTTTTAGCAAAGATAAAAATTGGGTAAGTAGGTATTAATTTAAGTATCTAATTATTCAAAGAAAAGAGTAGGTAAGTTAGTCTTGTTAATTCATGTCAAATAAAATCTGTCCACTGCCTAACTCCTGTGTAGCCAGAATTTACAACTTGACCGCCAATAAAAACCCAACCAGTGAAGGTCAAGTTTATCCCGGGGAAAGTGTCCACATGATAGTAAAAGAAGATGCTTGATAAGTACTCATTGTTTTTATTAAACTCAAACTGTTTTTGGCAACACAAAACGAATTACAAATGTACAAGAACAATTCCCATGGGTCGTCAGCCGACGCACGCGCATCAAAACACGCCGATACTGCAACTCAGCGGCGTAATTAATTCAAAGCATTATTGTGCAATCTGTTGTCGATATTAAAATGCATTTAAACTGGAACAAAGTGGCGTGGAGACCCTTAAATATTTATTTTTTTGTTTTGAAATTATTATGGGTATTCTTTCTCTTGTTAGTGATATAAATGAGCAGTAAATTATTATGATAATAAATTATCTTGTAGGATTCCTTTTCTTTTTTTAACGTAAATCTATTTAGTGCCTTACAAACACTATCTTATAAGGTTAATTTTTAAATGCTCAGATGACTTCTCTTCTGAGTGTAGACTCAGATATTTTTTGATATAATATTTCCCACACAGAAACTTTTAATAGGTAAGATAAATCTGATAAGGCATCTACAAATATGCTACGCGAAAAGCTATAAGGAAAACAATAACTCATCTAGCAATTAATAAAAACTAATGATGAGATAGATATGATAAGATGACAAACTATAATATTTTATCAAATTACCTTGTTAGCACAAGGTATCTGATTGTTTCAAATTTTTAATTCCAAATTATAGAAAAATAAGTTGAGTATATTTGGGGACTCCACACATCCCCTGTCCAGGGCTATGCATTAGCGATTCATCCTGATATGTCATCGCTGTCCGTAATGCCCTCCGCGGCAACCCTGCGCGACCCAGGCCGATTGTAATCCCTTTTTGTCCCGCGTTATTCAAATTATCAACACTTTTGTATCTGAGTGCATGCCGCTTGGGACACACAATAAAAAAAACCAAAACACCCCTTAAAATTAAGAGAGTAGGGTTCAAAATGTTTTGAAAACGATCGTAGCAATCTCATAAAAGTTTAACCCAGTGCAATCTATTACGCAAGTGCAAAGAGCATCGAGCCCTTTTTAAACATTTTACTTCACTTTAATTGCCTTTGCTATATTTAGCAAAATTAATTTTAATTAGGATCATCACAAATTAAAATTCCTGTCTTGCATTAAAAGAGCAAATGAGAAAGAATTTAAATGACACAATAAAATTCTTTTGAAAGCTCCACAAAATGAGTGGAGTAGACTCAAAAATAAGATATGACACATATTAATAATATCAAAGAGCTCTAGGCCATTCAGAAATAAATAATCTTTCAATCTCACTACACGTTATTAATATTCATATTCCTCACGTTGAGAATGTTCTAATTGATTATAATTATACATAGTTTGAAGTTAAATAATATGTCGCAGAATTAGCAGAAATTACAAAATGTTTTATTGGTCACTCCATCATATCTCGCAGACACGGTAGACCACTGGCACCAGCCTTCGTTAGTGGATTACACAACGCGATAATACATCTGAATTACTCAAAACCCAATTCTACGATTAGAATAATCTATCCAGAAACGAGGACGTGTCCACCGGTGACAGTAAATATTATGATTTCACCCAAGATCTTGCATCGCTTACGTCAATGTGACGTCTGTTTCATTACACACCGTCCCGCATTTTCGCCTAATCTCGCCATTTTTACCGCACTAATAGTCTTAACCCAACCACCAAAAGGCTAGAATCGCCTGCCCCACGGAACGCACTATTTTGATATCGGCGCCGGCTTTATAAATTATGTCATGGCATGTCCGGCCGTCGTTTCGGATGTCTTTGTCCTTAATATATTCCACGGCTTATTGTTTTTGATGTGCTCTCTAATCCATGCTTTCATCTCCATCGTCAGCGGTTCTGGTAATAGCTTAATGAGGATTTATAGAATTTAATACATTGTACGCCCATTCGTCATTTCTGTGAACAAGCTCGGCCAAGGATGCTGTGACAAGTGACGTATGTGTTCCCGGTTTATTTATACCGCCGCCATGTTTATTGATCGGACATCGGCGCGTGCACGTGATCGCGCCCAACTGTTCAATTGGCAGAACTTCCATTGTCGCACTCTAATCGCAGCCACTCCATCATCCCCGCTCCACCTCCACCTGTGCCCCACAACAATAAATTGAGCCGCCAGCTGGTCACCTCTATCAAAAATCTCATTTTTATATCATCCCGAACATTAATAATGCTATCAAAACGCGGTCGAAATGCCAAAACGACGGTCGGCTGTAAAATATAAGCGCCAATTGCTAGGACATCTCCGCCGAGCTATTAAATAAAAGTCTTTTTACATTAGATAAATCGCGTACGTTATTCGGGAACATCTGTCCCTTGCCGATTACGCCCATACATTATGCTCAGTTTGTTGTTTTTAATAAAAAGTTTAATCCGTTCGGTTATGAGGGCAATTTGTCAGGCCGATGGAAAAACTTGGTCGATTACCGGTGGCGCTGGCGTCGCGCGGGGATACCTATTACAGGCCCGCTCTTTTTATTCGTACACGCGATTATGTCATGTTTATTTATGCATTCGCTTTTGTCTTCCATTAGTGCTTTTTCTTTTTCATCTCCACCGCCATGATTCACTCGGATGCCTCGCGTCAGACTGCGAAAGAAATGCTAAAGTGCTCTTTTCATATTTGCATCAAAACGATCGTTCGCGCGGAAGCTCCCATCGTCGAGCTGTTTCAATTTCGTCACCTTATAACGTCTTACTCGTACAACCATTAACAATTCAATGCAGTCTTAATGAAGAGCCGATAAAATGTATATGGTGTTATTCGTCACGAGTCTTCGGGCAATTAATCGGTATGTCTTTTTGGAACTTTGCTTTACTGCCGTGGAGATTTAGTGCGCGTCCGTCAGTTGATTTGTGCGGGCATTTTGGCGTTTTCTTTGTCGCGATGGGGCTTAAGTGTGTAATATTTTATGAGGACGAATTTCGCGAGGAAAGATCTTTCGTTAAGAGTGATCGCCGAAAGCGCGAGGTCTCGGACCAGTCGGCGTCGGATTCTTTTGTTTTAACACTCTTGGGAGCACTAAACGTTTCAGGATTCATTACACACCGCTCTATTATTTACATACTTACAGGGTGTACAAAAAACTCCTCAAAACTGTACTAGATGCGGTCTTATAGGTATGCTAATTAAACAACAACTTTCCACATGACGAAATTAAATTCATTTTTTCGTGATCTTACTTGATCATCCATCAAAGTATCGATATAATAGTTAACGATTTCGATGTATCATCATAGTAAAAAGTTGCTGCTTCAACATCTAATTACATAATTTCTATTACTGCGCTATTTTCATACACCCTGTAAGTATAAATATTATAAACCAATTTTTTACTCTCATTTGTACCTTTGTAATTATTTTCAAAACATGTAAAACGTCCCGTAATTTGTAGCAAGTGCCTTATTAACGTGGTCCTGAAGTATGAAACAAGACTCATGTACGAGTAAATTATTTATCGGTAGCTAAAACTATTATACAAAATGAGGGTGGTCATCCATGTAAAGTTTCATAATAACGCCAAGAATATGTTTATTATCATATTAACAGCGTCAAAAACTAAGTAAAAACGCTTTACCGGAATCTATTACATCCCAACTAATATTATAAATGCGAAAGTAACTCTGTCTGTCTGTCTGTCTGTCTGTCTGTCTGTCTGTTAGTTACGCTTTCCCGCTTAAACCTCGCAACCGATTTTGATGAAATTTGGCATAGAGATAGTTTGAGTCCCGGGAAAGAACATAGGATAGTTTTTATCCCGGTTTTTGAAACAGGGACGCGCGCGATAAAGTTTTTCTGTGACAGACAAAATTCCACGCGGGCGAAGCCGCGGGCGGAAAGCTAGTAGAATCATAAATGTAGCACTTGTAAGTAAGCATTTAACAAAGAACGGTACAGAATTTTTGAATTCTTTTGTTTCAGAACATCGGCAATGTGACGGCCGAGCTGGAGATACAGAGACTGCAGCAGGAGCAGCTTCGGAGGCAGGAGATGGTTCGGCGCGGGCAGCATGGAATGTACCCGGGGCCGCCGCTCGCGCTGCTGCCTCTACTGGAGCAGATGAGACCGCAGCCGCCGCCGGCGCCTCCAAACGTAAGTCAGGGGACTGTAGACACTGAGCAGCAGGAGCTGGTTCGGCTTGGGCAGCATGGGCCGCCGCTCGCGCTGCTGCCTTTACTTACTGGAGCAGATGAGACCGCAGCCACCGCCGCGCGGCGCCTCCAAATGTAAGATTAGATAAGACTTTTTTGATAAGGAAAATATAAAGGACAAAGCAAGTCGGTTGCTTGTTGAAAGGAACATCATAACTGATTACAAGTGCAAAATTTTGTAGTTAATCCAAGCGATTCCCATCGCTAATCAAGACTGAGCATTTGTTCTAATTCATTTAATGTAACCAATTAAGTGTCCATTTGCAAATCCGCGTACGCAACTTACAATTCGCTCGAACAGTGGTCGTTAACATCTCTGCGGTTAGGTAACGTCTATTATACATCATCAGAGCATCTATTAGTTCTTACCTCACCTGATACTAATTATGCAACCCAAGATGCACCAGCCGTGGCATGAGAAAAGAATCTTGCTTCACCCAACGATCATGTTACAACTATTAATAAAGACAAGTTTACCAAACCCGATTTCAAAGCATTGTTTGGAGAACAAATGGTCAGCATTCAAGGCTCAGATTGCAACAAAATGGGAATTGATCGTAGAAATGAACAGATAGACTTACCATTGTTAAATCCAAGTCCTTATTACCAAAATGATCTCTAAATAACTGTTATGTAAATTGTATTTGATTATAATTATGCGCGATAGAAAACTAGAATACAAGATGGTTTCTAGAGCGTCAGCGATTGTAACTAAAGCATGTGTTACATCACGCAAAACACCTTACAGATCTTGAAGAAGCGCTCGAAATGAAAGTTGTTGTACTAATTACCAAGCCTAAACCGGTGTTTGTTATGTAAAATTATAATTAACTTTTTCGGTGTACCCTTCCACCATTTGTCATCGAGTTTTGACTATAAACATTGCGTTTGATGGTCCCAGTAATAGATAGTTACGTAAAGATGAGTCCGATTGTTCAACAAGACCGGTGGACTAAACTTGCAACTTTCTTAAAAGTTTCAAGTGTCGGTTTCCTCACATTATTCGTGTTAATTTAGGTTTTGCCCGCGGCTGTTTTATATAACAAATTGTGTTTGACAATTTTATTGTGTAGTTCTGATTTAGTTTTATTATGGTAAGTAATTTAATATGGAGATTAGCATAATGCGTAGAGAAGATTTAGGTGATGTTGGGCAACTAGTTCTTCGGGTTTGGACAAAACTGGAACAAAATAAATAACAATCACTCAAAAGTACTTTTATCACTAAATGTAATAAAAAAAATTTATGTCATAATAAATCAGTAAAAAAGTAAGTTTAGATTGAATGTTACAAAATGAAGAAGAGAAAGTCGAAATTCGTTGTTAGTTGAATTAATTTTGCTTTTCGTACGAATAAACGTAGTACCTAAGTAATACTTACCTTAACCCGAAGTGTCAATTCTTTATATTTAGTGACACATTTTTTTCTAAACAGCTTACCTATCTATCATAGATGGAGTCTTCCAATGACTTGGCCCACTCTTAGCTTGGTCTACGGGCCAAATCGCTGGTTTGAATTTTTATATAGTTTTTCTTCCAGTGACTGGACTGGGCCCAACTCTAAGATTCTAGAGTAGATGTTGATTTGGTGTTTAATTTCTTATAGGTGGGCTCAGTCACTGAAGGAATTAAAAATTCAAACCAGCGACTTGGCCCATGGACGAAGCTAAAAGTGGGCCAAGTCACTGGACGGAAGACTCCATCTAAGTTGATAGACAAGCTGTTTAGAATAAAATGTGTCATTAAATATTAAAAGCCTCTTCAAAAGACTTCCGTGGACGGAGCTAAAAATGGGCCAAGTCGCTAGAAAACTCTTAGGCTGGGTTGCACCATCTTACTTTAACTTTGACAAACTTCAAAAATCTGTCATTCTCCATACAAAAAACACCGGTTATCGTCATAGTCACGGTCAAAGTTAGGTGGCGCAACTCAGCCTTAGATGTTTTTTTTTATGCATGACAAGGCAGGTATTTGACCACAATCACACCTGATGTTAAGTGGGATGCAGTCTAGGATGGTACATATCTGCCCTGTAAGTGCCTATTCACTCTCGCCTTGAAGAGTTTCAAATTCTAAAGCGCCAAATCTTCCAGGTGGTGTCATCTTCGCCCTGGCCAGCGACCGCCCAGCTGGCTCAGCTCACCGCCAACGCCCGCTCCCCGCCCCCCGACCCCGATGCGCCGCTCAACCTCAGCAAGCAGCGCTCGCCGTCGCCCGCGCATTCGTCCATCATGCTGCCGAGATTCGTGCCCTACCCTCCCATGGAGGAGAGCCCGCAGTATATGTCCAAAGAGGAGGAGTACAACCCTGGAGTTAATGGTATGTATCTTTTAATTATTATTTACTAGCTTTCCGCCCGCAGCTTCGCCTGCGTGGAATTTTGTCTGTCACAGAAAAACGTTATCGCGCGCGTTCCTGTTTCAAAAACCGGGATAAAAACTATCCTATGTCCTTTCCCGGGACTCAAACTATCTCTATGCCAAATTTCATTAAAATCGGTTCAGTGGTTTAGGCGTGAAAGAGAGACAGAAAGACAGACAGAGTTACGTTCGCATTTATAATATTAGTATAGATACATCTTTATGAGGTCGTCGGTCCACCTTGCGGGGTGGAATTCCCGCGCTTTAAAGCCATCTTTGTCATTTGATTCATTTTTTGCAGCAAAGGCATTCGAAATGCCTTCACTTTTTTCGATATTAATGCTTCAGAGTAGTAATGTGTGGGTACAGTCAGCGTAAAATACACTCAACATCAAATAAATCGCACCTTCCGTGACGCGAACTTTACAGAATTTCTTCTGACACAATCATGGTGCCCCAACAATATTGGTGTAAATCCAATAAATATCCTTAAAGAAAAACACATTTAATTTATTAATAAACGATTAACATATACCATAAATGTGCCTTGAAAAAAGACCTCACTTGGGGCTCACCTCTGGGATCAATTAGAGCAATTTTCATGGTTATAAAACCAAAGAATGATCTCACGTGTCCTCTTTAACAGATGGATAGCGATTAATCCCAACTTAACAGTTTTATAGCCATACTTAACTAGGTACCTATTTTTTGAAGAAGTGACTCTGGATCCTTCTAAAGACACATTTTTGGGGTAAAAACCTTTCCTTTAATGAAATGAAGTTTAGAAGTAGGCTTTCAAATGGTGCCAATATTGGTGGGAAGTGGGGATGCATACGTTTGAATCGCGGGGAGGTGCAATTTATTTGATGTCGAGTGTAGTTCGTGACACCCAAACTGGCCAAAAAGTTGATAGCAAAACGTTATCCCAATTGTTACAAAGACCTGTTGCAAACTATTTGGCTACTTTGGGTAGGTATCACAAGCTTTGTAACGCTAACTGTACAAAGTAAAGTCGTTCCTAATTTCGAACCAAACAATATGGCGTGAGAAGCATCTCGCTCTCAACACATCTAATAGAAAATAACTTGTAGAGTTCAATGCTACTATTAATACTAAGAGGCTTAATTGATATCTGGTGCTTGAAATAAACAAATGTGTCGATGAACTTCAAACAGTAAATAAATAGACTCAATATTTTTAGTTTTTAAATAACACTTTACACTGTAAAGTTTACAGGATGTTTGTTGAAGAACAAGTTACTGTACTATTTGTGATTTTTGGTGCAGTAATACCAGATTATTATCAATCAAGCCTTTTAGTGTTGCAGTAATTTAGTTATATCTAGTCTAGAAAACTACTCTTTACAGTTTACTTCATAATGCGAACAGCTAGGGACTGGAATTCGTTGCCTGCTGCTGTCTTTCCCGAAGACTATAATCCGGGCATCTTCAAGGCGAGAGTGAATAGGCACTTACAGGCCAGATATGTACCATCCTATACTGCATCCCACTTAACATCAGGTGCGATTGTGGTCAAATACCTGCCTTGTTATGCATAAAAAAGTAAGAATGCACTTAATTAATTCCGATAGCACCTGTAAATATCTTTAAACAAAGTCAATACTAATATTACAATATCCTCTATTTACAAATACCTATATTAGGATTATTGAACAATGCACTTTGGTAAGACCCATGGTACATGGTACGAGTACATGCAATTTTCCAATGTGCTAAAAGCGGAAAATTCAATAGATTTTATTCTAAACGAGAAACCATTCGGAAAATTGTCTCAAATGGAAGTGGAAACCCATTGTACTTTTAATATACATCCATATTCACAATGCGGAAAATAACAAATGTCTTTAAGACAATAAATATTACAATGACTCATAAGAAAATCTAATAGGTAAAGTAGAAAAACCTTTATCGTATCAGATACATAATAAATAATGCAAAAGACGTTCTCATGTTTTTTTTTTAACTCTTTAGCTGTGAAAATGTTTCTAGTCATATGAAACTAATTTATGCATGAATAACATTATTCTTTATCAATTACATTACTATTGACATAATAACAACCTTTCACACACGCGTACGTTTTTCCATCATAGCCATAAAATAGTGACAGAATCCATTTTGTTATTGTAATTAATTCAAATTCCTCCAATTAACGCTGACTCACTCGTGCGAACGATGGAAAACAATTAAAACAGGTTTGTTGGTGACACAATTTTACTTATTGACTACACACGAAGTAGAGTTAGTAACCTCAAGGCAACAGGGAGAAAAGAAAACTGCGTGATTAAACTTTGGATTATCATTCCACCAGCTCGCACTAAGTGTTTTGCTAATGCCCGTTTTAACCATCAATCCCTAATTTTTAAGTGACCCCTATGTAAACAAAATTCCTGTTATGTGTTACAATAGGGGTCACTTAAAAAATAGGGATTGATGGTTTAACGGGCATGACTCTTATAATGCGAACAGCTAGGGACTGTAATTCGCTGCCTTCTGCTGGCTTTCCCGAACACTATAACCTGGGCCTTTTTAAGGCGAGAAAAGGCACTTACAGGCTAGGTATAATATACCATGCTAGAAAGAATGTCACTTAAAGTGCCTACCTTATTCTATATGTATAAAAAATGATGAGGCTACGATATACCTACTTATTGGAAAAGCCTAGAAAATACGTAGCTATAGTTAACAATAGTTAGTTAGATGCATGATTGCTTCACTATGCCTTCAGGCACAGGTACAGACGATGGCACATCTAACTAAACTTACTGTGTCACTGTATTCCTATGACTGTTAATTATGAAAAATCTAAAACGTTAAAATAACAGTATCGTTGTGGCCAATGAGATGCTGTTATAGTCGTATCACGCTAGAATCAAACGTTAGAATAGAGGGACTCGCGGTGATAACTCCCCGCGCTTTTGTGCTAAGTGACGAGTTGTATTAAAAATAAGGCAACATAATGTGAAAGCTGAGTATTCAGTGTTTTATTTATGGGAATAGATCTACCGGCCTCTAATAGTACCTAGTTGTAATGGGAGCGATTTCACCAAAAAAGCTATCATATTTTACTGGCCCTACTGTATTATACATTTTCCACCATTATATTTATCTTTATAGACCAGAAGCCAGGTGCCATATAGCGCGTTATTTACTGTTATTCGTAAGAAAAACATCAGTAGCGCTGTTGTATCAATTCAAATGTAAACGAATTTGATTAATATTCATTAATTTTCTAACTGCCTTAATCTAAATTATGATGAAATTATAACTTTCACTTACGATTGCCGTTGATTGTTTACAGATTTACGATGTTTGTCGACCAGTTAAAGGTCATTAAAAGGTGTCAATTTTAAATAACACTTTAGCACTAACTCCGTTTACCGTGGTTTAGGGCCAGTTATAGATGCGTAATATGAAAAGATACTTAAATCAAATAAGTTCAACCCTACGGTAGGTTCAATTAAAGTCTAAAAGCCAACATATTAACGAAGGTAGGAATCTTCCACAAAACGAAATCCCTCCTAAAACAACAAGCAATTAATAAATCTAAACTACACTCAACATCAAATAAATCGCACCTTCCGCGACGCGAATTTTAAAGATTTTCTTCTGACACAATCACGGTACCTACCCCAACAATATTGGTGTTATTTGAAAGCCCAATAAATATCCTTAAAGAAAAATACATTTCATTCCTAAATAAATGATTAACATATACCATAAATGTGACTTGAAAATAGACCTCACTTTGGGCTCACCTCTGGGATCAATTAGACCAATTTTTATGGTTACAAAACCAAATAAAGATCTCACGTGTCCTCTTTAACAGATGGATAGCGATTAATCCCCACTTAACAGTTTTATAGTCATAAAAAATGCCTATAGCGTAACTACCTATTTTTTGAAGAAGTGACTCTGGGTCTTTGTAAAGACACATTTTTGGGGTAAAAACCTTTCCTTTAATGAAATGAAGTTTAGAACTAGGCTTTCAAATGGTACCAATGTTGGTGGAAAGTGGGGATGCATACGTTTGATAAATGCTTGTCGCGGGAGGTGCGATTTATTTGATGCCGAGTGTATAAGATCTAGATACTCAGTAGGTGAATCAGATTGTTATGACGTCACACCTACGTCACACCGACGCAGGAGTTCCAAAAATATTGTCCGCGGTCTAATCGAATTGTTTATACAGCCAGCTGTCAAGTTTGAAAGAGTCGAGGCTTTTTATTGATTGAATAATGTCTCACACTGTCACTCTCCCTTTGATCTGGCCGAGATAATTTGAATAGTGTTACAGCTTTGTAACATCTTCTCCAGACGCGGAATGCTTTAAAACAAGCGAATTACGATGTAAGTGGATTGTTTGTAACTAAATGTTTTTATAAGTAGTGCTGCCAAACAGTTGGAAAAAATTAGGATTAGGTACTTATACAGTATGTTACTCAAGGGATTTGAAAACTACTGAGATTTTTATACTTTGATACTATGTAGTTAATGTAGTTCATGTCTAATGTCGGTGTCGCACCCACTCCTTTGAAAGTTGGAGACTCTACACTCGAAGTTGTTGACAATTTATTATGTATACCTGGGACAAACAGTCCAGTTAGGTAGGGCCAACTTCGAGAAAGAGGTCAATCGTCGAATCCAACTCGGCTGGGCAGCGTTTGGGAAGCTACGCAATATACTCACGTCCGAAATACCGCAGTGTCTCAAGACAAAAGTCTTCGAGCAGTGTGTGTTGCCAGTGTTGATCTATGGATCTGAAACGTGGTCGCTTACTATGGGCCTCATAAGAAGGCTCAAGGTCACCCAAAGGGCGATGGAGCGGGCCATGCTTGGAGTTTCCCTGCGTGATCGAATCAGAAATGAGGAGATCCGCAGGAGAACCAAAGTGACCGACATAGCTCGCAGAATTGCTAAAATCAAGTGGCAGTGGGCG